CTATTCAAAGGCGGCCACACCCAGCTGAACTCCACATCACAACACATCCGCTCCACATCCTCCTCCCTTGCACCACATTCACCATGACCACAAGCGGGAATGCTCTGTAGGAGATCCTGTCGATGGAGATGAACGCGAGATCGCTGCCCTTGCGGTCACCTGGTAGAGCCATCGCGCCAGGCGGGTCGAGGTCGGCATGCCGGCCAGCTCCCCCAGCTCTCTAACGACGACCCCACAATGGAGACATGGACCGACCTTTGACATCGCGCCGGAGCCGATGCATGCCGACTTGAACATGGAGCTAGCGCATACGCATTACGACGCCGCTGTGGCAGATGAGGAGCAGCCTACACCGACTCCTATGCTGGAATTCCGGCAGATGCAGGAGGGGCAGAAGTACAACCTGCTCCTCCTCGAGCAGTACCGGTTGGCGGAGGGTCAAATTTACAGCGAGCGCGCAAGCGAGAGGGTTGTGGGTGCTCTATGAGGCGCGCGTGCTCAACACACGGCCGTCCATCTTTTGTGGGCGCATGTGGCGGGTGGATGGTGATGGACCGTCCACGTCCATCATCGACCTAACATCCACCAGCACCGACGAGAGACATGTTCGCAAACTCCTCCAAAGATGAGTAGGGCATGGGAGGCGGCAGGCATTATCTCCCAAGTGGGTAGTCTCTCACCATGTTCTACTCTTCCACGCGAGAGACCGCACCTTCATCTCACGGGTCTTAAACCCCCATCGCCGTTCATGGAGACGACAGATGGATGACGTGGTCGCTAATGTGGAATACAAAGGAAGTGGACAATAGCCGCCGTCATAGGATAGCTTTATGACCCGGCTGTTTTTTGTACTAAATGTTTGAAATATAATGAAAAATGTTTGAAATGTAATGAATTTTATCTAGTTTATATGAAATCCGCCATGTTTTCATGAATTTCGTCCGGTTAGTTCAAACAATGGCCGAAATGTATGCAGGCAGTGTTGGATGACCGCCTCCCGCATCCTTGTCCGCGGGGTGGCACTCCCCTGTCCGCGGACGGATGTAGGAGTATATTTGCGGGTCAGCCTTGGAGATGCCCATAACACAGTCCGAACATTTTTGTATCATCCAACGCCATACATTCTTACTTTGGTAAGCGTAAGCATTACACGCCCTACAATTTGGATGTGATTCATGATCACAATGCGAAGTCGTTACTTCATCGGTGGTACACCATTTCAAACATCGTCATGAATACTTCGGTGTGATGCGCAAGTGAAAAGAATGGGGCTAACAGGGGTGTCAATCACGGAAATTGTAAGTTTTGCTTCTTATTATTGCATGTATTTGTCAATACTTTAATTCACTCAATGTTGCTACTTGACGATCATGTCATTAGGGCAAGCCCTTCACTTTAATGCATTATTGGATGAAGCTCAAGGGAGAGTTCTCTGGGTGAGCAACATGCATCATTGAAGAAGTTCAAGAACGTGAAGAGAAAGCTTGAGATGAAGGTCATTTTCGAGGAGTATCGTTAAATTTAAGATTGATGCATTTTAAGAACTTATTGAACATCCAGTGCTTTTATTAAAATTTAAATTTATGGTTGAATTGCTATGAGTCAATTATTCAAAGTGGACAACATTTATTTTAGTTTTTTTAAAGAGACAAATATTTGATGCACCAGGTTACATGACTGATTTTGCTACCACGGTCCATGGACATGTATGGTTTAGGTTGTGTTTTTTGATGCACTGCATTTTAAAGCATCGTGTGCTTGTGGACGCACCGCGTGTGTCTGTGGGCACTGACCCTTTACACATAAAAAATTGTCTGTTGTGTCCAAGTACCTCAAACACCATACCTTAAATCCATATATACAAGCCATGCAGAATAAGAACATGCGTACTATGTAGGTATTCTATCTAGTCATCGTCAGAGATGTCCACGATCTCCGTGCCCGGCTTCGGGTAGATGGGCAATTGCGGCAATTCCGGCTCGTCGTTGGACGAACTAGAGGTGAAGAGCTCGTTGATCTCCACCCTCTGTTGTCGGATGAAACGTCGGTTGGTCTCCACATATACTTCATCCTGGATGGGCTCGAGGATGGCGGTCTTCTCTACCATCTCCTTCGCTTGGGTGACCTCGAACTTCGTAATGGTGTCCTCCATGGCGAAGCCCGTAGCCGGCTCTGCCTCTTTCTTCGGCGCCGCCGCATCGTCCTCCTTTGGATTTTTCCCTCCATGGCCTTGGGGTCCTGCTCCGCCTCTCAATGCAGCCTCCTGCTCTGCCTTTGACGAATCCGAAGGAAGGCCGACAGTGACACGAGCAACGCGCCTTGCCCGGATCTCCTCCTCGAGATGCAACCGACGTTCCAGCACAAACATGGCGTAGGAGGTGATCCTTTGTCGGGCCCTGGCTAGCAGCTACGACAAGCGGATGGAAGCTGGCAGCGCGGGTGGGAGGGGAAGGGAAGGAATGAGGACGGGCTAGGGTTGCGTTGCCGCCGTCTGGCTTGAATATCCAGACTTGCTCCCTGAACCGGCATGCCGCATCAGCGCCACACGACACGGAGTGGAGGAGGCGTCGTCGGACCAACGGCCGCTCCGTGTCCCCACGTGGGCCCTAGCGATCAGTCCATTGTGGTGGACGCATTCGTCCCATATCCATCCTAAATATGGATCGGGTATATAAGTGCGAGTCAGTCCGTGCGTTTGAACCAAATATGGAGCGTTCCATTGGGTGCGGTTTTTGCATCCCAACAATAACCCGGACATCCCGCCTGGACGTTTGGGGCAGGTAATGGTTTTCTCGTTGTAGATGCTCTTAGATGCCAAGCCTGTATAATCATGGTGTTTCTCTATAATTATTGCTTAATCTGGCTGTTCTAGTTGACATGCACGTGTTAGCACAGAGAATCCAAGAAGAGTCCATCGTTCTGTGACGGTACTTCGCTGCATCTCACGGGATCAGAAAAACCGGAGTTTTTCCCTCAAGAAAAAGAACCGGGTTTTTTCCCTCAAGAAAAAACGGGTTTTCCCTCAAGAAAAAAAGAAACCTGGGTTTATTCCATGACCTAATTAGAAATTACTGCATCATTCTAACTTCATGATGATATCCAATATGTATCTTCAAATTTCAAGCACATGTTAATACAATTGTGCATTTTATATTAAAAATAATATTTTCATGACAAATTTAGTGTTATTATGATATTATCATCGCTTTTATCACTGTATAAATAATACAAATACGTTAAAAGTTTCTTTTTTTACCGTAGGTCATAGAAGCAAGCAAGCAAGCGGCAGGTCTCATGACCCATGTACATACTGGCCCGTGACATCAAGAGGATAGGATTTCTATTTGTGAATTATGAGCACCCATGATATGCATGCATGGGTCCAAGGTGACTCATCAAGAGAAAATAAAGAAGAAAAGGCAGATAAATCACATGGCATGGAGCTATGCATGTAGTATCATGCATGCATGCATGCATTGTGGTTGGTATACAAGTATACATATACTCCCTCCGTCCGGGAATAAGTGTACATCTAGTTTTTGTTCTAAGTCAAAGTTTTTTAAAATTTTAACCAACTTTATAGAAAATAATACTAACATATATGAAATCAAATTGATATATTATCAAAGTACATTTCAAAAAGAATCTAGTGATACTAATTTGATGCCATAAGTGCTTTTACTTTTTTCTAGAAAGGTGGTCAAACTTTTAAAACTTTGACTGAAGACAAAAGCTAGATGTACACTTATTCATGGACGGAGGGAGTATACATATGTACCTATACATCACAGTATTATTTTTATCATGACCAACATGCATGCCCTGTAATTGACAAAAAAAAAACAATTGTTAAACCTGGGAATCTATGTAACATATCCATCTAATCTAATTGTTGTGAGAGGATTGATGGTCTATGGTGTACCAACCGAGTGGGTGTACAGTACAGTAGTGATTACATAAAGAAAAGCAGGAATTCAGAGAGGGAGAGGGAGGACGAGAGAGGAAGTATATCTACTCTACATTTGTAAGACAAAGGAAAAGACAGAAAGCTCAACATCGGTGCAGCATTGCTCCCAGCGTGGTTCACAATGTTATATACAGTCCGTGATTTTAGAATAGTTTCCACTTCTACTACTGTACTTTATTATCATCATCTTAAATAAAGTATATAATTACAAGAAGGACAGAAGAGTTGCCTTGTATTTTTAATTTTATTTCAATTTTGCTCTTGCATTTGCCCCATAGGCCATAGCTAGAGAGAGCATGAAGGGAAGGGAAGGGAAGAAGGCTCAACTGCTGATTTGGTCAGGATTTTTCTTCTTTTTGGCCCCTAAAGCAAGGAAGCAGATAAAGGAGGGAGAGGAGGGGTTTGGTTTGGTCGTTTGCTAAGCCTTCTTCTCCCCCTCCCCTCCCCCTCCCTCTAGCCCCTATGGCTGCCAGCACTGTGGCCTCTCCTTTTTCTCTCTCATGGGGGCCGTCATCTTCCAGCTTGCATAGCTCCTGATCTCCGTTCCTCTCTCTCTCTCCCCCCTGCACTGCCAGCCAGCTCTTGAATCCTTGCTGTAGTGTTCTACGCTTGTACTGCTGCAGGGAAAGAAAGTAGAGAGAGAAACAAGAAGAAAGGAGAGAAGAGGGAAGGGAGAGAATCTGAATTTGCTTTCCAGTCATTGACCAACCCAACCCCAGTTTCCCCTTGTTTGTCCCCTTCCCCTCCATCCTTGATACCTGTGCTATTCCCTGAGCTGCCGCCGCCGCCGCCGCCGCCTGAGGAGAGGGAGTGGCTCTCTGAACTCTCTCCTTTTGTCACTCCTGTCTTGCCTTGCCCCCATCCTGTTCTTCCTCCTCCTCCTCCGTTCTTCATTAATGCCCCCTCTGTGGCAGCATCAAATTTATTGCCACCCCTTCCTTGGGCCTTGGCTAAGTTGTGTTTAGACTTTAGAGGGAGAGAGAGATAACCTAAGGCCTGAATCAAATCCCTAGCACTACAAGTTTGCCGCTTTATGTATCATCACCATCTTCAGCAGCAGCAGCAGCAGCGTGGAGAAGCGGAAGCGGCAGATCAGGATCAGGACAGCAGCATGTCCAACCTCACCACCTCCGCCTCCGCTTCCGCCAAACCTCCTCCTCCTCCTCCCCCAACCCCGGCCTCCAACAAGCGCAAGCGAAGCCTACCCGGCAACCCCGGTAGGTCCTTGTCCTCGGTTTAATTTCTTGTTTGTTTTCTCACAATTCTAGTGACGACGTGTTGCTGGACTGGACTGATGCGCATGTCTGTATCTGGAGGATCGTTGCATGTTACTAATCTTTGTCCGCGCGTGTTTTTCATGGAAACGGAACCCAAGACCCAGAGTCGGAGGTGGTTGCGCTGTCTCCGGCGACGCTGATGGCGACGAACCGGTTCCTGTGTGAGATCTGCGGCAAGGGGTTCCAGCGCGACCAGAACCTGCAGCTGCACCGGCGCGGGCACAACCTGCCATGGAAGCTGAAGCAGCGCGGGAGCAAGGAGGTGGTGCGGAAGAAGGTGTACATCTGCCCGGAGGCGTCGTGCGTGCACCACGACCCGTCGCGCGCGCTGGGCGACCTCACCGGGATCAAGAAGCACTTCTTCCGCAAGCACGGCGAGAAGAAGTGGAAGTGCGACAAGTGCTCCAAGAAGTACGCCGTGCAGTCCGACTGGAAGGCGCACTCCAAGATCTGCGGCACCCGCGAGTACAAGTGCGACTGCGGGACCGTCTTCTCCAGGTTCTTATCCCTTTCTTCCAATCTCGATCCACCTCTTGTGCTTCTACTATGCTATGCTATGCATCATGAAAGCTTTCTTCCCTGCAGTCTTGCTGATTTCTCGTTACTATATATTCTTGTGCCTTGGCAACCTAACCTAGCGAGTGCACTGCCTACAAATTACTACTACAGTAGAATTCAAGTAGAGGATCGTCAACATTAATTAATCTGAGAGAAGGAAGGAACTCATTGTGATTTGCGTTGGCGAGTCAGGCCAGATGGGGCAACGAACGCAGAAGAGGCATGGACGGATGCAAAGATGGACGGGGGTCCTCTTTCTTTTTGTTTCGGACATGGATGAGATGAGATGAGCGGCTGTGCAGCTCGTGTGGAAGGAGAGGAGAGAGATGCTGTGATGATGATGAGGATCGAGCTTTGGGAGACGAGAATTCAGACATGTGAATCTCTTTGCAGAGCTGAGCTGCCTTTCCATCTCACTCCTCCTGCCTTAGCCTAATTGCCTATGCATGCTCACACTATTCTCTCCGTGCTGTCACTTCCATGCGTCCTCTCCTCCCTGATTCTCTCTCTCTCTCTCTCGGAGCTCACACCGCACGGCACGGCAGCGTCGCATGCCATATGACAACAAATGAACAAAGAATCAAATGAACAAAGAATCAGGGGAAAGTTTTAGCCTTACCTTTTCTCTTGCCCTTCCTTCTCGTGCTGCATTTCTTCTTCTGATGGCTTTCTTTGTTGCACTGCATTGCATGCAGGCGGGACAGCTTCATCACGCACCGGGCCTTCTGCGACGCGCTCACCGAGGAGAGCAACAAGGCCATCAGCGGGGGCGGCCTGCCACTGCCACCCATCGCGCACGCCCAGCACCACGCCATGCTCTATTCGCCGCACGATCTGATGCAGCAGCACCACCACCAGGAGCTCGCCGCGTTCCAGGACCACCAGCACCAGGTCATGCAGCAGAATTGCAACTTCGACGTGAAGCCGGAGATGCAGCCGTGGCCAACCATGCCCTACGACGACGTCCACCACCCGCTGCTGCAGCCGCTCTGCAGCGCCACCGCGCAGAGCTCCGCCACGTCCGTGCCGACGCCTACGCACCACCAGCAGCAGCAGCTTCCCGCGGCAGCCGCGCACCTGTCGGCCACAGCGCTCCTACAGAAGGCGGCGCAGATGGGCGCCACCATCGGCGGGGCCGGCGCTGGCGGGGCGGGAGTGCACTACACCCAGATGGCCGGCTCGGCGACCAGCGCGACCGGCAGCGCCACGTTCGGGCTCGGCCTCTCGTGCCTCAGCAACCAGCAGATGATGAGCCTCGCCAGGACCGCCTCCCAGGGCCGGAGCGGCGAGGAAGGCGGCGCCTCGGGAGGGGCCAACGACGGCATGACCAGGGACTTCCTGGGGCTGCGCGCCTTCTCGCACCGCGACATCCTCGGCCTCGCCGGCTTTGACTCGTCGTGCATGGGCGCCGCCGTGAACACGGCCGGCAACAACACCAACATGGCTCCCTGCTACGAGCCACAGCAACAAGGACAGCCGCAGCCGCAGCCGCCGCAGCAGCAGATCAGCAACGAGCCGTGGCATGGCATGGGTAGCCATAGCTAGCCATGATGATAGTTGCATGGTCGCTTCTGATCACCGCAGAGCACTGCTTGCTGCTACCCTCTAGATCAGCAAGGGATGCGTTTTGAACTGGGTAATCTCTCTCTTTCTCTCTCTCTCTCTCTCTCTCTCTCTCTCTCGCACTCGTGATCTTGCAAGCTAAGCAAGCTTTGGAGTTTTTTGTGGGTAGAAGCCAACTGTAAGGTAAACTGGGATCAACGAAAAGCTACGTGAAAATAATACATGCATCCGTTCTCTCTCTCTCTCTCTCTCTCTCTCTCTCTCTCTCTCTGGCACTCAACAACTGGTCAGCTGCATTGCCTACGTACATATCTACTGTCTCCGTTTGCTGGGCAATATATCAGTGTGAAAACAGTCTTATATTTTGAGACAGAGAGAAGTACACACTCCCTCCGATCCATATGTAGTGCCTATAATATTTTTCAAAAATCAAACCTCGCAAATTTTTATTAAGTTTGTGAAGAACATTTACATCTAATACACCAAACATATATCACTAAATTCATCATAAGATGTAGTCTCATATTATGGTGGATATAGATAGTTTTCTCAATAAACTTAATTAGTTAAAGTATAAAAAATCTATATGCATTACATTATGAAATGGAGTGAGTACATGTCTCATGGCCACACACTACAAGTTTTATATTCTCTGCCTTGGGTAAAAGAAAGTTTTCTCTATCTGACTAAGGTACACGTCGATCGGTATATGTATAAGGAAAATCCAGATATACACCCCCCTTTAATACTAAACCAGCAACATTTAATATGTAACAAAGGGAGTACTTTGCTTCTTCAAAAAAAAGGCGCAAAATATGTTTGACAATACTATTTTCAAGGGGAGAAGAAAGGTGTATTTGGGTGAACTGAACTGAACTGATTGTGCTGCTTGGTGGTCACTTGGGAGCTCTTGCTAGTTGCTACAAGAGCTAAAATGCGGCCTACGATGATATCTGTAGTTTATTGATGCATGCATACGGGGAGTGTGTGTGTACTGTGTCGTGCAATCAGTCGATGTACTGTACCCGGCTAGCTGTGCTGGCTACTGTTCGTCCGTGACAAGGTTTTGTCTGCAATTGGTCGAGGGCCGGCGCATTATTCCATGCTTGAAATAAAAGGAGAAACTTTATTTAGTTTCAGATTTTTTAAAGATAGAAACACACACCTAATTATTAAGACTATGCCTGCACATATCTTTGGCTCTTGGTACTATTCTTACGTAGCTATACATTTCTTCGATAAAGGGTGCTCTTTATTTACGAATTTCGTCATGAAATAACAAGTATTTTGCTATAATAAGTCACTTTTTTGCCCTCTAGAAACAACCCAAAAGGTCTTGCCAGTTCTTAGTGTATAAATTTTCCCGCAAAAAAGTGTATAAATTTGTTATCATTTTGCAGCTGTGTAACTATTTAATTTCTAGTACAATTTATGGTATACACACTAGCACAGGTTGGTGAAGCATAACCCTAGCGCGAGGACACAAAATGAGTACCGACCCAACATCTGCATGACAAGGATGCACATTACCAATAAGAAAGAAAAAGAACCGTATATGAGTTAAAGCCGGAGGAACGACCCACCGCAGCAAAACAGGCGAAACATCAACTACTAGCACTGTTGTTGACAACATTTAGATGACGAGAAGGTTACCCAACAACAACGCCTTCAACAAAGAAACAATGCATGAATGTCGTCGTTGCTGGATTAAAGCACATGGACCAGGATTATGAGCTTTCACCCACAAGACACACAATGTAAGCTCCAGACAGTGCCTTCAAGGGAGCATAAACCGTCGTTGCCGGGTACAACCAGTGAAGGCCAGGCCTAGAGTTTTCACCGCGAAACTCGAGAGCTGGTACTGGAAGAACACCACCATAAATGAAGCTCCATGTGTTGCTTCCACAAAAGAAGTCCTGCTACAGTGTCCCGATCAGCGTCGGAATAACAGATCAGAGTGAACACCACATGTCGCTGAAGGGCAACGCAACAGAAAACAAAAAAAAAAATCGACCTACACACCAGCCTAGGACAACTATGATGCGGACAGACGCGAGCGTGGAGGAGCTCCTAGTCGAGGAGCTCGGGCTGCTCCTTGGCAGCTCGGACACAAGGCACTGTGGGGACGGGCGACTGTGGGTTGCGCGTGAGGATGGTTGGGGGCTCTCTGGCTGTCTGATCTGAGATCAGGTGGCTCAGATGGGCAACTGGAGCTGATTGGTTAGCATGGAAACGGAGGCAGGAAGTGGCGATGGGAGGATTTTTAGGGAGTTTGTCTCTAATTTTTAGGGTTTTGCCCTGAAATAAAAGGTTGTGTGCCTTTTATATAAGTAGGGGTTTGGGCTAGTTATAGATGGGCTTTTGGACAAGGGTAACACAGGAACTGAAGCCCGGTTAGCAATTATATTTAAAAACAATTTATTATTTCATGGCTACTACACACCAATGGATACCAAGGGTGCACAACATGCGGCTGATAACAACGTCATTATCTGATCCACCTAAGTTGGTCAATGAGCTTATTATGTTGTCCATGGAGGATCGTGCGTGGATCTCTCAAGTTTTCCTGCCTACAGACGCTCAAGCAATTTTGTCCATCTGGCTTTGCACAAGACAGTTCATTGATTTCTGGTCATGGGTACATGATCGAAACAGTGCTCTTTCCATACGCTCGGCATACCGCATGCTGGTATCAACTAAACTCCGTCGAGAAGCATGATTGGAAGGTCGTGTTGACAACTCAAATTCCGAGGGAGAAATAAAACCATGGACGAAAATGTGGAAGATTGATGTTCCATTAAAAATAAAAATAAAATCTATGGAGGCTAGCGCAACAGTCCTTGCCAACTTTAGACTTGCTCAAACAGCGAAAGATGGCAGTACAATCAGAGTGTGGACTTTGTGGCTCTGAAGATTCATGGCGGCATTCTTTGATTGAGTGTAACATGGCACACTGCATTTAGGCATTAGAGGATGATGATCTGGTGGAAGTTATGATGCAGTGTAAAGAACCAGATGCAAAACGCTTATTTTCTCACTAATGGATTCTATACCGCATGAGAATTTCATGAAGATACTTGTAACACTATGGGTGATTTCGCATGCTCGAAGAAATGCTATGCATGAGCATGTATTTAGGGGTCGTTAGTGGCGAATTAGTTTTTCAAGAATTGTCGAAAGTAGCTTTAGATTTGCAAACCCTTGAAGCAACATGAGCTGTTCAAATACCTCCGAGACAACACCACAGATGGACCCCGCCGCTTGTAGGAACTGCAAAAATTCGTGTTGATGGTGATGTGTCGCGCGATGCAATGGAAGGGACTTACAGTAGTTTGCAGGGATTCCATCGGGAAATATCTAGGCTTTTCGGCGACATAATGTCAAGGTGTGACTGACCCAGCATCATTGGAGGCTTTGGCTTGTCGAGAAGAGGTCTCACTTGCTCTTGACTTATTACTTACAGACATACAAATAGCTTCAAACTGTCAAGATGTGATCAAAGATATCCATGGAAATATGGGTGATCTACACTCGACCATTATTAAGGAGATCAATCTTACATCTCAGCAGTTCTCTCGCCGTTCCTTCATCTTTGAGGGAAGAGAAACTAATCTTGAGGCACATAGCCTCACTAAACATACTCTATGATAGGGGCAAAGGTGTCCCGTATTTCGATGAGATGGTAACTATCATTTTTGGTGAAGTAGACTTTGATGACCCGAATACGAACGCGCGAAGACGTCACGCCTTAGCAATCGCTAAACCAACTCCGACAGGTTATTGACCACGCTGGAGCACGATCAACCTGACCACGAGGGTCTATTTCCTTCATGCAAACGAAGAACAAGGAATAAACTGAGATTGCAATCTGAATATTGCAAATTTAAGAGGAAAGCTTTATGGATTAAGGTGGCGTTCTGAAACGTCTTGTCCTGGTCGTTGGACACAAATGAAGTACCTGTGTTGCATTATGACAAACTTTAATCTAAACAAAACCAAATTCTAAAATGATGCCCTAAGAGCCGTATTTATAGGGAGACGGAGGGGAATTTCGTCCCCCCTAAGCAAGGTGGGACTAAATTCTATCTTAAGTCATTTTCCCTATTAATATGGTTTCTAAAAACACGTTGGTAGTCGAGGATGCGGCGCACGCTTACGATGCCATGGCGTTCGAGTACCAGGGCGAATGGCCCAGCTCGACTTTCCTTGGCGCGCAAGTGAGATAGCACCACATAACATGAGGATAGCCTCCAAGGCCGAGGAGTGGGAGCACCTACGGCCGAGGCGCTCATCAGGGCCACTGAACGTCAAAGCACCGATCCCTTAGTGGAATGGTATCTTCGGGAGGATCCGCATCTGTACTCCATTAGCGAGTCATCTGTACTCCATGCGATGCAATTCATTGACTCTTCTAATTTCCCGGAGTTATTCTCATATTCAATTCAAAGTTTGACGTAAGAATGAATGATAATCAGTCAGTTGGTTTCTCCAAGATCTTATAACCCTTTTCATTGTCGGCTCAACCGAAGACTTTTTCATTCTCCCAGAGTATCTCAACAATTCATGGTGGTGTTTCTTATCGTCATTCTCAACATTTGAAGACCGAAGAAGAGTTTTTCCTCCAAATCCTATCCGTTCTCTCAGAGATGCGTAGTTCAAGCTTGTTGCCATCCTCTCATAATTATTTTCGATTGTGAGAATTCTTTTCACCTATCCGGAGCAATTCAAGAGTCTTTTCAGTTTGATTCTCCGAAGACCATCATTGCGGGTTTATTCATTCTCAGCTTTCAGCTCTCGTTCTCCAAATCATACCGGTGCATCATTCAAATATTATCTAATCAGCTCGTGATCTCTTTATTATCTTGTATCAAATTCCCTCAAGTATCTTCATTCGTTCTCTAATTCTTACCGGTGATTCACCCCTTTTACTTCGTCCGTTTTCAATTCTTATGGTGGTTTGGTCAAGATTATTCTTCCTTCAT